TTGTTTAGGTGGACACTCGGAGGATTCGGACAGCATGGTGTACTTGCCACCAGGGATTGGGGGCACTAGATCGGTTCTTGGGAAATCATAACAGTAATGCCGGATTGCAGGTAATGATGTGGCTGTTTTTGCAACGTGGTCATGATTATGCCAACATGACCGTCGCGGTTACATGCCTCTTAAAGCGATTTTCATGCGCAGGCCGTCTTTGCAGAGAAAAGCGCGAGTGGTACGCAAATGCCGCGCGCATGTCCTGCAAAGAAGGATAAAGGCACCGCGCCGCGTTGTCATGAACAGCGGCTTTATAGGTGAGGACGCGCTTACCTTACGTGGCGCAACCAGCAGCCTATCGGACTCCAAGTGAGGAGGACCGCGCCCGAAACCGGCGTGCTGCCTGAATACTTCTGTGACTGGGTCGGAACAGAATGGGGGAAGACCAGCCAAGACCTCGCGGCGCCGCCGAGATGACCATAGCGTTACACGCGTCCCTCGCCGCCACGTGTCCCACGGGCTGACGTGTTCGGAGTAGCACGCTATGCGTGCTGGTGCTTGTGCGTGTACTAAAGCAACGCCGCAGTGTTCGGCAGGCGGAGCACGTCAGCTCAACAGCTGGATCAGGGTGGTCCGCGGTCTTCCATGCCAAGACATCGCACCCGGCCGGCCCCAGTCAGTTCACATGCGCTCCATGAGTAGTTAGGATACCATTGCAATAGCCGGCCTGGGCACCAAAATCTTCATCGTATTCGGTACCAAATTTACAAGTTACACACAGTGAAATAAGGTGTTTAAAGACAAAAATGAACAGTACTTTTTCTAGGTACGTTCTGTTCAGTTTTGACAGTCTGTTGCTGAAACAAGGAACGATTTAGAAACAATGAAATAAGATGTTTAAATGCAAATATGAATGGTTTTTACTGCGCATGTCCTGATAAGCTTTCGTGACCTGTCACTGAAACATGAAACTTAAGGAAAATTCATACCCACCCTATAAAAGTTGGTGAAAGAAATTGTCAGAACGGTGCGTGACCAAAGTGTTTCATACCGCATGCATATTTCATGTGTGCATGGACGCGACATATTCTCACGCGAACATGACATATACATGCGCAAAGTTCATTTAATTGGCAGACGTCCTTTGAGGTCATGTTGCTCAGCCTTAGCTTTGAGTATGCTGTCAAAACAAAATAATGTTTCTCGCACAGCGAGATATGATGGCAGTTACAGTTTTTTAGGTCATCATCCACATCCAGAAATTTGTTCATAGAAAAATGTCCTTGCTGCGCACATTGCGTGGCGCATGTACGCGCGACTTCAACAACCAGTGTAGCTGAAGACCAAAAGCCACCCGCTCAGGGGGATAGTGAATGTGAAAGCATCTGATGTAACGAGGTACAGCTCAGAACGTTGAAAAATGACGGGCCTCATCCTATCTGCAGGCTTTTGGCTGCCACCACGTTCTCATGACGCGATCGCTTGTGTGGGCTGCAGCCACCGCCAATGATCCTCATGTGCATTTCCTGATGTGGTTCTTCTCTGTCTGGAGTATGCTGAGGCTGGGGAAGAGGGAGGGGCGGCGCCAAATTGTACCCGGCCAAAGCTTTGAGTTATGGAGCCATCCGCGCTGCAGCGAATAGATGAGGAGCACAGCGGGGGGCGCGAGCCGGCGGCGCCGCATCCAGGCGGCCGACGATGGGGGAGCACTCGGCTCCGAACCTGAGGCCCCGGGGCCGGGGCCGGGGCCGGGGCCGGACGCGGAGCAGGCTCAGGCTCCGATCCTCGGGACGCCCCGGGGTCTGGCGGACCTGGCGTCGGCTGCCGGCCCCTCCGCGGGCGGGCCGCCCGGGCCGGCTCGCCCGCCGTCTAGTTCGGCTGGCAGCGTCCCAGCATACACTGGCCGGCGCTGCTTCTGAGCGCGGGCCGCTGAGGGACCGAGCTGCTGGCCGCCGCCCACACCTCTGCGGGCGGGCTAGGGGAGGGGGGGGGGGGGGGCACGGCCGCTCTCTGACGCCGTGTAGCCATCCCATAGATCGGGCTGGCGCCTCAAGCCCCTCAAGTCACGTGGGTCCCGTGACTTGAGGGGCTTTTGATCGGTGTGCTGTGGACTGGAGTCTTTCACGAGTTGGTCCTGTAAACTTGTTTTTACGCGTGATATTTGTCCTTTCGTAGTTGTAGATCGTGCTGAGTGCTGTGATTGCCAGTCGCCGATGTTAAGGTCGGACCGGTAAGGAGAGTGTCAGTGTCAGTAAGGGGAGGTTTGTCAGTCAGCGGTGACATCACCAGCTCAGCTCGTCCGCCATCGGCTCATCCGGCTCCAGACGGCACCGCTCCGTACGGCATGGGCTTGGTCGGTACCTGGCGCCGCCCGCTCGTAACTCTGCCCCTCGGATATACCCATTAGACGCCGCACCACGGGCGGTGACAAGTGCAGAGGGTTGTAAATGGAGAGGTCATGCCGGGTGACACCGCGCCGAGGCGAGAGGGCGAGCTGCCTCGCCGCCTGGTCAGCGGGAGGCGGATCACGTGCCGCTGGCTGCGGGGCTAGCGCGGCCATGTGGCGCACAGCCGGCGAGGCGAGCGGCACTCGAAGCTTGAACGATAGTGGCTTGATCGCACTCATACCACGTTATGTTCGAAGTTGGCAACCGCCCATTACGTTTTTATGCGCCGCGTTAGGTAGCGTAAAACGGGCAAGAACAATGTCCACTCACGGCTTAAGGAGCAGGGCAGAGTGATAGAATCCTGTGACCGTAGGACAGTCCTTGCGCTGCATTCGAAGCAAAGCCAGCGTCTAACTTTTATTACAAGTCTGGTATTTGTTTTGAGGCCGTAGACAACATAGATCACTTTTCGAAAGGTAGTGAAATCTTCCTGAAGTTGTGTTCTGGACGCGTCAAATCGCAAACGTAGCACGCGTCCTGCTGCGGTATTCCTCCCGGCCCGCTTGAACAAACAACACCAGACGATAGACGACGTCTTTGGTCGATGGTGTCGGTTGCAGCTACCAAACGCAAACCTCAGTCGTGTACTAGAACGAGTCATGGCCCGGAAGAGCGGCAGCGTGTGTATGAAACGTGAGCCTGCCGATATCATTGGGTACCGTTATCCAAACAAAATGCCATCCCGCCACGGCCGCGCTGTACGAGTGGAGCGTTTTCAAAGTCATTCGCACGCACGTGACCTGGCAATCACAATTACGATCAGGAGCGGACCAGGAGACAATTACGATCAGGAGCAGACCTCGAGGAGACGAATGCGTATGCGTACTACAGCCAGTCGCTCTCGTCTGGCGCCGGTCCCGGTCCGTGTGGGGGACGTCTTCTGTGACGGACGGCCGCGGACGTCGGCTCCGATCATGCGTCTGGTCCGTCGGCCGCGCCGCCGCCGACACCGACACCCGGTCCCCTGCCGACATTGACACCCGGCCCCCGCCGCCGCCGGCACCCGGTCCCCTGCCAGCCGCCTGACGGACGCGCCCTCCGCGTCGGCCGACACCGCCGCATTCCAATTACACGGGCCGCGCGCGCCGCGGGCGAACTTCCCCGAAGGCGCCGCTGCGAAGATGATACCGAGCGCGGCTCTGTGAACGTGACACCGAGCGGAGGGCGTCGGAGGAGAACCGGACCGCCGGCGGACCCACCGCCCACGCAGGACACGGTACCCGCGGCGAAGGGAGGCCCGTCGGCCACCGTCGACGCGGAGGAACCGCGCTCCTCGAGGGGGCGGTGATGTTCTGTGCGTGTCTGCCGCGAACCGAAGGGAACGGCGCGGAAGGTGCGAGACAGACTTGGCTGCTTCTTTGGCTGGGTTCCGGCGACCGATACTGAACTTGTGCCGGCGCTTCGGTAGCGGCGAACGAGTGACAGCGCCGCGGCTTTTCCTGGTAACAGGAAATGGAAACTCGCTGTGAAAAACGCATCGAAGGCCGGTGGAAGTGGAGCTCCAGGCCCAGACCACAACGAGCTTCTGGTCGACAACCGTAATTGAAGGCTGGTGATGCCGGTGGCATTCTGGCACCAGCGCTCATATTGCAGCTGCAGTGTACAGCTGTTCATTTTGATGTGGTATGTTTTGGAAGGCAGATATCGTCGTAAAGGTGCACGTGTTTCATGATAAGGGCTCCTACGTTGCGTGCAAGTTGCAAAGAGTAAGGGACACATGTTTTCTTACGAATGAACAGATGTTGATGTTAAGATAAGGGGCATTCCCTTACTCAGTGTGTCAGGCAAATGCGTCCACTGCTTGGACCAAAAATCATTGGGCCCGATTTTTGCCGCATGCGGCGCGGGCATGGCGCGACCCCGCCTGGGGTTGCTGACACGCAGGATGGGGGCCCCCAGGCGGGGCCTGTATCACTCGCCGCCGCAGCGTCGGCGCCGCTTGCCGGCCGCACAGTTGCGCTGGATCGCGGCAATGAATTAATGGTCTGCCCCTCCGGCGGGTAGCGCACTGAGTCCCCTGGCGTTGCAGCGGGTGCCTCGGCGCGCCGAGAGCGGCCGGCCGATGACGGAGGCCGTCAGCGGCGGCGGTGGCGGCCGCTGACGTGCCGGCTGTCGCCAGGGTCATCCTTCACGGGAGAGGAGACCGTGCGGTGGCGGGGGTCCACGGACTGGGCTGATCCTCCCGGCTGTCCGTCACGGCAGGAGACCGTGTGGTGGCGGGGGTTCACGGACTGGGCTGATCCTCCCGGCTGTCCGTCACAGCAGAAGACCGTGCGGTGGCGGGGGACCACGGACTGGGCTAGTCCTCCCGGCTGTCCGTCACGGCAGGAGACCGTGTGGTGCTGGCGTCCACGGACTGGGCTAATCCTCCCGGCTGTCCGTCACGGCAGGAGACCGTGCAGTGGTGGGTGACCACAGGCTGCTAGGAGAGTTGAAGGGCTCTCTAGGATGCCTCGTAGCGGTACAGATGGTACAGTTTGCGTGCATGCATAACTGGGTGTGACGCTGCCGGGTGGGGGAAGCTCAGGGCGCACCGTGACCTGACCTGGCTCCCTGTTGCAGTGGGTCTACTGCTGACCGCGGCCGCGGCGCTGGACGACTTCTACTTCTCGCGCCACCCTCAGAACCTGGCCGTGCGCGAGGGCGCCAGCGTCGACCTCGAGTGCATGGTCTCCAACACCAGCTTCATCCGCTTCTACTGGCAACTGGACGGCGAGACGGTGCTCAACTCGAGCCGCCGCTTCCAGCGCGGCAGCGACCTGCACATCACACGTGTCGACCGCCGCCGCGACGCCGGCCACTTCACCTGCATCGCGATGAACGTGACGACCGGCTTCAGCCTCACCAGCCTGGCTGCCTCGCTCACCATCCAGTGTGAGTACCGCCCTGGCTGTCCTACCGCCGGCCCGGCCGGACCTCCCTGAAATCAGCGGTCTCCGACCTGAGGCGAATCGGGGAGACCACAGATATAATGCGACTAAGTAGGGGCAGAAAGGCCAAACGTCTAGCGAGCTCCTGATGCTCCGGTCCGAAAGGCTTATCCGTCTATAAGCCGGCTTTTGTAAGGGATCTGGCGGGTGGCCCCCGTCTCCGGCCGTGCCGGTAGTCAGAGGACGTGTCAAGGACGCTCCTGTGGGACGAGACCCTCAGGACATTCCGCCTTTCCATCGTTTCCACCGCCCACCACCCCACCCCACGATGGTCCTCCCCGGCGAGTCCGCGCGTCCGCCGAGGACGGCGCCCGCGGGCTGCGCACGGCCAGGCGGCCGCCCGTCGTCGCGCGCTGACCGGCGCACGCGGCGCGTGTTTGGCCGGCGGTCGCAGCCGCGCTTCCGGCCGGCGGCGGCGGGCGCGGCGCTGTGCCGCCGTCGCTGCACGGCACGCTGCCCTCCGTACACCAGCGGCAGGCCCGACTGCGGCCGGCTGCGGCGCCCGTTTATCTATCGAGGCGCAACAGGCGTGAAGCGGCGCAGCGGCTTTCCGCGTTCGTCAGTCGGGTTATTTGGGACTGTTAGCACTCGGAATGCAGGCAGTACGTGCCAGGCTGGACGGAGGCGAACTGTCGAAGTAAGACTAAGTATGCCCCGTCGCTGCCACCGGCTGGCTATGTCGATAATGGGCTGGTGCTAATGCGACGTGCCTCTGTTCTGTGCTACGCTATGTGCCTGTTTCGGGTGCTATCCTCTTTCTTTTCGTTCATGCCCCTGAGTGAGCTGCTCCATTCTTCCTTGCATATTCTTGTTCTATTGCCAATGTAATGACTCTGTGTCTGTGTTAAGCTGTTTCCCATATTCCTCGTCCCTGATGAATACCTATCCGGTGTGCGGTTTAAATGTTCACATCGAGTCCTGTCATGCAGTTGGAACCCTTCTTAGTTCTCCATACCCCCTCCTCCTCCATCTTTGCGGTCAGCTCCCCAACACCGGATTGAGATCTGCCAACTTGTAGGATTGTACGAGTTTTTTTAGAAGGCTTGTCTGTATGTCGCTACCTCAACTCGTCCAAGGGATTAGGAGAAGCCACACAACTGATAGCTCCCGACATTGCCTTTCTGTTCTCTGTCGCTCTTCACTGCTGTCAGGTCATTTTCGTCTTATCCCATCCCATCCCATCCCGTCCCGTCCCGTCCCGTCCCGTCCCGTCCCGTCCCGTCCCGTCCCGTCCCGTCCCGTCCCGTCCAATCCGTTCCATCCCATCCCGTCTCGTCCTACCCCATCCCATCTCATCCCATCCCATCCGGTCCCGTCCCATCCCGCTGCGCCCCACCCCGTCCCGTTCCGTCCCGTCCCGTCCCGTCCCGTCCCGTCCCGTCCCGTCCCGTCCCGTCCCGTCGCGCCGCGCCGCCCCGCCCCGCCCCGCCCCGCCCCGCCCCGCCCCGCCCCGCCCCGTCTCGTCCCGTCCCGTCCCATCCCGTCCCGTCCCGCTGCGCCCCGCCCCGCCCCGCCCCACCCCACCCCGTCCCGTCCCGTCCCGTCGCGCCGCCCGCGGGTGGCTGGGCGGCGATGGTGCGCGGCCGCCTGCGCGCGGCGGCGCTCGTTTGTAAGCGGAGCCGGGTGTGACTGCGGGCCCGGTGTCCGGGCCGACACATGTGGCGCCAGCCGACCCCGGCCTGCGCCCGACGGACAGGCGTCCGCCCCTCGCCGGGCACGTCCGCCGGGGTGTCAGAGCCGCCGCTGGCGAGTTTTGCTGGGAGTCAGAGGAGGGGGGGGGGAGAGGAGGGGGTGAGGGGGAGGGTAGGCACAGTGACGCGGGTGAAACACGTATGTTGAACGTGCGGAGGCGTGCATAAGATAATTGATCCCCTCATTTTCCCAGTTTTCTTGTTATCCCGAAATGTAACACAATGTTTCAGCTCCTCGTATTGACATTGGCGGAATGACGATAAACGCTTCGTCGGTATGGTTCGCTGGTCAGCACATCGATTTGCGGAATTTCAGCACACGTTTCCACAACTGCAGCATGCATCACTGCGGCACACTGGCCCGGGGATAATGACATGTTATCAGTCTGTGCGGTCTGGTGCACGAATGCCGCCAGTTTTATGCCAGGACGGATAAGCGACATGTCCACGGGGTCGCCCCAGACACGTCCAGCATTTTGCAACGTCCAGCGACGTGTGCCGCAACAACCCGGCACGTCACATCTTCCGCTTCACTTCTGCGGGAAAACACACCGACATGGCACGGTCTCGTGCCGACATGACACCCGTTCTGCTGCAAATGTCCCGCGGCCTGACACGTGACGCCGATTTTCACCCACTCACGGGACCTGCTTGTCAGCAAGCAGACGTCCAAATGAACCACGCATAAGTTACACCGCGCCCCCGCAGCCACACAGCCTGGGGTCCTCCTGTTTGTTCAGGCCGGACCGGACCGGACCGGACCGGGGGGCAGACGCGCACCGGTAAGCACATGGGCGGCGCGGCGCGCGCGCCGGCCACCCGACCTCCGGCCGCCGCCAAGCACAACACCTCAGGCCTTAGTTGAGGCTAAAAGCGGCTGATTAATTCGATCGTTACATCATCTGGGCGGCGTGGCCGAGCCGCGCCGTATTCCCGGCGCCGGGACGGCACGTTTGTGCGGCGGTCGGGCGTCGCGCAGGTGTTGGCTCGGCGCGGGTGTGAGATCCTGTGGCGCCGGAGATCGGCGCGGGTGTGAGATCCTGTGGCGCCAGAGATCGGCGCGGGTGTGAGATCCTGTGGCGCCGGAGATCAGGGTCGGAGCCAGGCGGCGAGCGCCGGCAGCTCACGCGCCACCGGCTCGTCAGAGGTTTTTGGAGAGCGCTTCCTTCCCTCGCAGGATTGGTCACGTGACACGCCTGACAAGAAGCACGAGTGTACAGAGGTGGGAGCAGGCGGCGGCTATTGTCGCATTAGCTGCCCTACATCGAAGAGCAACAGTATTGGCTACTGTTTATCCTCTTCGATTCGGAGCAGAAGCGTCATTCCGGAATAGCTGGCGGATGCCAGCCCCGGTGGTCTCCTGTCCATCACGCGGCCAGCTGGCTACTGACGCGGTCGCAGGGCCAGTGGGCTGCGGTCAGAGACCAGCCCGTGGTCCTGGCACCGCCTGAGAGCGTGACGCAGCCGCTGGTGCGGCGGCGGACGCGGCGGGCGGGCCAAGCCGTGCCGTCCGTCCGTCCGTCCGTCCGTCCCTAGCCGTCTGCGGCGCCTCCTGACCTCCGGTGCCTGGAGCGGAGCGGGGCGGGGCGGGGGCGCGCCAGCACCTCGGCTGCAGCGCGGTAAACAGAGCGCGCCGCCCGGCCCGGCTCCAGTTATTTGTTCAGCCAGTGGCGTGTAACAATTATGAGGGCGCCTGGCGTGGCTGATTACAAACACGCTGACATCGTGGCGGCGGCGTGTCCTGCCGACGGCGGCGGCGCCCTGCCGCGCCGCCGGACCGGACCACGCCCCGGGATGCCCGGCACCGACGCCGACCTGTCGCCCGGCCGACGAGCCGCTGTCGGCGTCGCTGAGGACGCCGCGCCGCGCCGGCCGACGCGACGGCGACCCGCAGCGAGGTCGCAGCGGATCGGCCGCGCTCACCCTGTGTGGCCCCGCGCGTCACCGCTCGGCGTCAGTTTACGGCCGGCTCCCATGTGGGAAGGTATATGGGCGCCGTAAAAGACAAAGTGGGCCCCGGGTCGAGCTAGTGAAATAATCGACGACGAACGGACCCGCAGCGTCCGTGAAGCCAGCATCCGTGAAGCCCGAGCCGCGTTCAGTCGGCTCAGCCCGCGCGTCGCAGTGCGCGAGTGTGTGCAGCTGTTTATTGCCGGGTCGATAAACCAATTCGGTTCTTGTCACTCGCCCATCGATTACGACTGTCCACGCTCTTTGCCCGACCTTATTCCGGCACGCGGGGCAGCCACAAGCCGGCCGACTAACCGCACCGCGACGGCCATCGCCACGTCCATCTGCATTCCTGGCGTGGCGGGCTGTCGGCGCGTCAAGTGACGTGTCGGCCTCTATCGGACGATCGCGTTCGTTTGTGCACCTGTCGATGTGGTGACCGAGCCCGACGATCATGTCATCGGCCGCTCGCGTGTCACGAGCGCGAGCGCGGCGCGAGGACCACCGGCGGCGTCCGAGCGACCCGCGGCGCGGGCGGCGCAGCGCCAACGAGGCGACAGCGGCTCGCGAGAGCGTGCGGAATTATAGCGCGAGTGATCCCGAGCTTGCGAGGGCAGGGACCACATACAAGCGGGGCTCACGGCATGGCGTTGAAGGAGGCATGGGGAGGGCACGGGGAAGGGATAAGAAGGAGACAGGTGGCAACAGCAGGCGCCACTAACACGGTTGCTTGACGCTGTACCACACTTATCATTGAAGACAATGGAGACGAAGAAGACGAAGAGAACATGACTTGTCTGCAACGGCGTGCACACCACAAATAGCTGTGTTCTACGCAAGGCGACAGACCTCCGCGTACAGGCACCTCGCTAATTCAACCTGAGAAAAGAGTGACATTTTCCTCCTGTCCCTGCAGCGCACTCCGCGTGCGTCCGCACGCCGGACCAAACGTCTGCCTCGTGTTTGAGCTCGCGGCACGGTCTGGTGCCGCTGCGACGGCGTCTGATCTCATCAGGCCGCGTCATAAAGCGGCAGCGGCGCTGTCGCCGGTTTTTGTCGCGGTCCAGCGTCAGCCGAGCTGCCAGCAGGCGCGCCCGCGCGGCGGCCCCCGCCCGCCGTGACGCTGCCGGCGAGCCGCCTCCTGCTGGCCCCAATGCCGGCTGGTGTGGCGTCCGACGGGCCGAGGCCGCCGGTTCCGGCCGTGTTTTTACCGGGGCGGCCGGCCAGCCCCGCCCGCGGCGGCGGCGACGAGCCGTCCGGCCAGACAACGTCATCGCCGACCGGGACGTGACAGACACGTGCC